TACATTTAGCCAAGACAACAACCTTTGTTACGTTTCGGTCACCGACCCTTGTTTACATTTTATGTGTCAATGAACCCTTTGTACATTATGAGGTTAATGACCTTATTGTTTACATTTTGCCTAGGTCAATGAACCCTTTGTTTAACATTTTATGAGGTTAATGACCCTTTGTTTATATTAGAAGTCCACAACCATTTTTACATTTAGCAAGACAACAACCTTGTTTACGTTTGCGTCACCGAACCCCTTTGTTTACATTTATGGGTCAATGAACCCTTTGTTACATTATGAGGTTAATGACCTTATGTTTTACATTTGCCTAGGTCAATGAACCCTTTGTTTACATTTATGAGAGTTAATACCCTTTTGTTTATATTTAGCAAAGTCCACAACCATTGTTTCATTAGCCAAGACAACAACCTTTGTTACTGTTGCGGTCACCGACCCTTGTTACATTTTATGGGTCAATGAACCCTTGTTTACATTATGAGGTTAATGACCTATTGCTTAATTTTGCCCAGGTCAATGAACCCTTTGTTTACATTATGAGGTAATGACCCTTTTGTATTATATTTAGCAAGTCCACAACCATTGTTACATTTAACGCCAAGACAACAACCTGTGTTTACGTTTGCGGTCACCGACCCTTTTGTTTACATTTTATGGTGTCAATGAACCCTTTGTTTACATTATGAGGTTAATGACCTATTGTTTATTTTGCCTAGGTCAATGTAACCCTTTGTTTAGAATTTAAGAGGTTAATGACCCTTTTGTTTATATTTAGCAAAGTCCACAACCATTGTTTACATTGGCGGTCACCGACCCTTTGTTTCTACATTATGCAGTTAATGACCTTATTGTTTACATTTAGCCAAATCACAACCTTTTTATGCATTTAGCCAGTTGGCCTCCAGGAGGTCACCTCTGATCAAACAAATAACAGCCCGGCGTGATAGTCACCTGAGCATTGGCCAGGCACGGTGTTTGCTTTACTTATGTAGAGCGAGCTGGCAGCAGGTTCTCGGAGGTCAACTCATGACTTTTAAATCATATCAAATCGAGGCACGAGTACCTTAGCCTGTCCAGGTACGGTGCCTGCTTTACTATATAGAGCCAGATGGCAGCCAGCTCCGCGAGGTCAACTCAAGCTTTAAATAACATCACATCGAATCACGAGAGTCACCTTAGCGCAGGTCGGCACGGTGCCGCTTTACTTATTGTAGAGCGAGAGTTGGCAGCAGGTTCTCGTGACGTCACCTCATGCACTCTTAAATCATATCACATCGAGGCACGAGAGTCACCTTAGCGCTGGCCAGGTACGGTGCCTGCTTTACTTTATAGAGCCAGATGGCAGCCAGCTTCCGCGAGCGTCACCTCAAGGCTTTAAATAACATCACATCGAGGCACGAGAGTCACCTGAGCGCACGGTTTCAGGCACGGTGCTTGCTTTACTTATATAGAGCCAGATGGCAGCCATCTTTCCGCGAGGTCACCTCAGCGCTTTTAAAATAAATAACAGCGATCTGAGAGTCACCTAAGCATTGGCCAGGCACGGTGCTGCTTTACTTATATTGAGCCAGATGGCAGCCAGCTTCTCGCGAGGTCACCTCCATGACTTTTAAATCATATCGCATTGAGCCATCGAGGCATCGGTGCCTGCTTTTTTATAGAGTCAGGAGCCAGCCTTCCGAGGTTACCTAGTGACTTTTAAATTATGTCACATCAAAGGTGTGAGTAACCTGACAGAAAACGTATAACTATTTAACCTTCCTGATGCAAGTTGTTGTTGCGTGATTTACTATACATTTTGTTGCATACTGACAGCCATATTGACTTGTGACTGCTTGCTTATGCTATTTGACTATTTTTTAAATAATATTTGTGTTAGTATAAATTTACTTAACTAAAAAAAATTCAATAATAATGTTAAAACAAGTAAGGAAGCGCTAAGTTCGCGAGTAACCGAACATTATACTCTCGCAAAGTCAAATGGTATACTCGTTTGAGATTTCTTTGTGGATTGACTGATATTTTCCGGTAGAAGGTCAACTAAGGCACTGGGGTCCACATATAGTACTTAGGGTCTTGAACAGTTTTGTTCGATTTTGACAATTTTTGCTGCAAGATGGCATACTTTAATTGCATTATTCACGCAAAGTTTTGCCCCGATATAATCATTGTTACCTGATTTGCATAGTGGAAAGTGAAAGAATCAGATGGAATTGAAAATGGTGTTTACATGGGAAGTAAGCGTTGTTGTAGTCCGATTTGCCCATTTTCGCACTATGACATAGAAACATGAAAAGAACGTTATGCCACGAATTGGTGTGAAATCGGTTTAGCAGATCTCAAGATATGGTTTTCACCTAAAGTAGCTGTGCACGCCCACTGACTAATTTTGAATGCGGTTTCTATAAAGCCAATTTATACCATCTCAGAGATAAAATTAATGTCTCTGGCGTGTTTGGTGCTTGATTTATCGCGCTTTTAGTAGTTTTAACAGTACCGTTATATGGGGAGTGGGCGAGTTGCCACCCGATTTCAACTATTTTCACACCGTCAATAGAAGTGCTAAAACATTTGCTTTAATGAATTTGTTTTATTAGCATTAGCGGTTTAGAGATATGCACATTAAACCTATTAATGGCGGGACCACGCCTACTTAAAAATTTTAACTGCAGATGCCCCCACCTAATGTGATCCGTGTACCAAATAACAGTATTGTATCTTATTGAGAGCTTAGTTATACCAATTTATTTGTTTTGATTAAGGGATTTGTGGGCGTGGCAGTGGTCCATTACACCCCATCTGCAATACCAACCGTCTCACGGTACCAAGAAACATGTCTACCAAGTTTCATAAAGATATCTCAATTTTACTCAAGTTGAGAGCTTGCACGGACGACGGACGGATGGACGGACGGACGGACAACAGTCACCCGGATTTCAACTCGTCTCTTCATCCTGATCATTTATATATATATAACCCTATATCTAACTCGATTAGTTTTAAGTGATACAAGCAACCGTTAGGTGAACAAAACTATTATACTCTGTAGCAACAGGTTGCGAGAGTATAAATGCACATAGCATGTATTCATTTCTGGTTCGTTCATCAAAATTCGCTGGTGATGATGTAAACAAAGCTGTAATTTATAGATTCCTTGCTGCTAAAAATCAAAACAATGTTAATTTTCCACGGAGTTGTGAGATGAATCTCCTGACTGAAATTTTCAAATGTTCGCTATCGAATCTTCTCATTCTTGTAAGTTCTCTGTTTATACGTTTTCTTAGGTTCTACATCTTCTGTATTTGGGGTTTCGAGCAGTTATGGTCCGATTTTGACAATTTTTAGAATCAGATAAATTTAAAGTTGTATGGCAAATTTCGCCATATTTACACGTAACACACAAATGTCAGGATAATGTCACCAACGAATTTGGATGAAATTGTTGAGTAGGTTCGAGGTATGGGTTTTCATCTAAAGTTGAGCGGTGACACACTCATCGTCCCGATTTTGCCCTCTACCCTACCGGCTTCTTTTAAGACGTCTTGTACCATTTTGGGTGTAAAATTTAATGTCTCTGACAATTTATTTATTGATTTCTGGCATTTTTAGTAAAAAAAATTTTTTAGTGAAAAAAAATTAAATAAAAAATTAAAGAAAAAAATTTAAGAAAAAAAAAAAAAAAAAAAAAAAAAAAAAAATTAAAAAAAAGAAAAATAATAATTCAAAGAAAACAACAATTAACAGAAATTTATTAATTAATTTCAATATAAAAGCAAAACACTCATTTTTTGCAAAATACTTTCTTTATTTTAGTTTGCGTACGCTTGCGCGACGATATTTTTACAAAAATTCACGCAATATCATTTCATTTTTTATTTTTCATTTAAATATTATAATGCAAAATAAATAGATTTATATGTATTACAAAGGAGTTATATAAATGAAATTTTACACATTTATTCCTACACGACGTTAATGTAAATTGTAAGATAATTGCATAGTAAATGACTCACTGCCTAAGTGTTAGGACCGAAGGGTTATACAATCATACAAAATATGTGGTAAGTAAATTTTTCTTTGTCCAAAATTAAAGTACATAATATCTTGTACAAATTAATACAAATATAGCAAGCTTGTTAAAAACACTTCGTTGAGCAAAGACAAAAAAATAAAATTAATAGACTGTCACTATAGAACTTAATTAGTGGTAGCAAAAATGATAATACAAGTTTTAGACTCTGTTTTTGGCAGCTGATAAGTTAGTTTTTACAGATGAGCGTATTTGATACACGTTGGCGTTGTCGGTGGGGCAATGTGTGACCGCCGACAAAAGTACTATTTAGTAATGCTGTGTGTTTGTGTAGAAAAATGCATAGAAATATCTTTGGAGCCGACAAACGACTTGCTACTGCTATAGTATATCATCTTGGACGTCGTATAAGTAAACAAAGCAAACGGCGGCTAAAGTGTGGTTAGGCATAATCTATAAATATAGTCGTTGCGTTTTTCCGCTCCTCCTTAATTTGAAGTTTTGAACTTAAATAGTTTCAACTTCCCATACTTTGGTATTGCAATCTTGACCAGTAGAGATCACAGTGTTGTTGTCCAACCATACTAAGCGTGTAATTTGCGATTGTGGATGAGCATCTGCAAAAAAAAAGTAATAATAATAACGATTTTAGCTTGGCTTACAAAAATTAAAGTAGAAATGCTCACTTTTAATGATGGTGTGCTTGGCCGGATTGGCTACAGACCAAATAATAATGGTAGTATCCAGCGAACCACTAGCAACTAAAAGCGAATTTGGTGACCAAGCCACGGTATTGACACGCGCATTGTGGAAGCCCCATTCCTTGTTGTGCGCAAGCTAAAAATGGATCATGAAAATAAGCACAAATTACATAAATAGCCGTCAACTAATTTACTCACATTATACTCTTCGACGGCATAGAGTATGACTTTGCGATTCGCATCGCATGCTACCAAATACTTATTGTCAGGTGAGTACGAACAATCGGTTACCGGTCCCAGGTGCTGCAGTTCGATTTTCTCTTCCAACGTGGTGCCCTTAAGTGTGTAAACATGCACCTTGTGATCGTCGCCGGTCACTGCTACATCCAATGTTTCGGGGTTGGCAGAGATCGAGCTTGCCTCATACTTGATTGGTAGTGAGAATACCTTTTTATTGTCCTGTACAAGTGTCAGTTCTTTGACGCAAGCGAGCGCGATTATATTTTCGTTGCGGAAAATCGCTAAACCACGTGGTTGGCAATTCAGTTTGACAACGTAGTCAGTATAGCTGTTGCTTTCAACGCTTATTTGACGCAGGCTGTCATCGATGCCGCAGGTGTAGACGAAATCGCCCCAGGCGACAATGCCGTTGATCTGCAAATAAGAAGAAAAAAAAAGTAATGTTAAATGCATTAAATAAATGTAAAACAACAAATACTTTTAACGTTTAGATTTACCTGATTACCATGTCCGGCGCCGCTAATGCGGTCATTCACGCCACTGCCCGAATTCCAGTTCGTTACTACGCCATCGTGGCTGCCCGTATAGATGGTGCTGCGATCATCGCTCAAACCGAGTACAGTGATTGGCTTATTATGACCCTTAATTACACGCAGTGGCTTTGACGGGTCATCAACATTCAAATAGCTAATGTTACCCGACAAGGATACGGTGAGCAAATGTGCGCCTTGCCATAAGCAAGAAACTTGTTGATCATCAACGGTGGTGCCCATTACGAATTCGGTGATCAATTCACGTGTTTCCACATTCCACAAGCGGCAAGTCTTGTCACCGGAGCAGGTAAGCAATTGTGTGCTATCGGGTTTCCATGCAACAGCATAAACGCCACCCTTATGTGCAGGACTACCGAATTCGCCAATCAAATCGGAGTTGGCGCCATCGTAAAGGAAGACTTTGCCATCGAAACCAGCCGAGGAGAAAAATTTACCATCAGGTGAATAACGTACAGCCTGCACGAAGCGCGAATGCTCCTGTTTGGTCATTTTGAATTTGAATGGCGGACCCTCAAAGACGCCAATGGTGTTGTCTTCGCTGCCTGTTTTTAAAATATGTTATTGTAAAAATGAATAATTGGCAAAAATTCAAAATTATTTTTATTTACCGGTTACAATACGGAAGGGACGTGCTGGACGAAAGTCGCAAGAATTAATCGGTTTCGA